TACACACACACACAGAAAGAGAGGAGAGGAGAAAGAAATATATGCTGAAGATTATTATTATTATTCATATTATCCCAATGAGGGGAAATCATGTTGACTGTATTTCTGTCTGTCTGTATCACACACGCACGCACACCCACCACCTCCGACCCCCGCAAATAAAGCATTAGATACACATAGATACAGAAAAACAAACAAACAAATAAATGAACGATGTCTAAAGTTATTAAAACAGAGAAAATAGAAATAATAATAATAAAACAAAACAAAATCAACAAAAGTGATGGATGATTCGTCATTTCAAATCACTAAAATAAATAGTAGTAGTAGTAGTAGCACATTAGCAGTAACAGTAGTGGCGGGGGTGGTGGTTGAGGTGGTGTCAGTCGCACCGACCTCACACACGAACAATAAACACACATCATAATTAGCAAGAAAAACGAAACAAACAAAAAAACAGAAGCACAAAAAGACGAAATCATGTATGTTATAATACGTGTGTATACTGCTGAAAATGAGCCTGGATTAGATAACTGCAATTTTGTAGATGGATGGATGGATGGACAATTGGTGATAGATGGATGACGTATGTAAGTATGTATTGTTGAGGGTAATATAATCAATCACCAGCTTGCTTACTTACTGAAGAAAGATGAAAGATCCCTGACAACTCTATGTTAACACACAAAGAAGAAGAGGACGAAGAAGACGAAGGAGAAAGCAATGAACACTCTCACTACTCCAGTTTGATTGTCTGCAAGAATGTTGAAATCCATACACACTGTGCATACAACAAGTGATATTATTAGGATAATATACCACCGCCTATTATTATATCACAGAGAAGAGAGATGGAGCATTGTCTGGAGGGGAGGTATTTACCACATTGTGTTTCTTTGAAAACTAAATTAAATTTAGTGTGAAATGAAATAGTAAAGTAGATAAGAAACAAAAAGAAAGAGAGAGAGAGAGAAAAAAGCAACTGATCCCAAACAAAAATTATAGAGAGTCAGATTGTAAGCGATGGTGATTGGTGATTATATATATATAAGAGAGTTAGTTAATAGTTATATATGTGATAATAACGTTGAAATTAAAAATTAAAAAAGCAGAAGAAAAAATTTCAATAAAATGGATTCAAACTACTTGCTTGTTGTTGATGCATCATATTACCGCCAGAACCATCTAAAACAGACCATGCAGCATTTGAATTCATCGCTACTAAATAATTAGGTTGTACATTTGCAGCGGCAGCGGCGGCGAAATAAGGTCGAACCGGATAGTACATTGGATTATTAATATGATTATTAGCAGCAGCAGTAGGAATATTCACCGAAGGATTATAATAACTTGGTCCTGGTAAAGCGGCGGCTGATGTTGGCGCCAACTGATTCAATGATGGTTTTATATGTTGATTAGCTATGAATGGATTCGATGCAGCGCCTGTTACAGATTTTGGGCCAACTGTGAACGGATTCGTTGACGCTATTACACACACACATAAATACATACAAACATACACACACAGGCAGAAAGACAATAATAACAAGATTAATGTGAGAAAAATCATACTATCAACAAATATTGTTTTAAAGAAATAAATAAAGAAAACCATAATCATAATAATAATGAAATAATCTACTTTATTCCAAAACAGCACTAATCATACGCAGTGTGGAATTTTGAGCATTTGCTTAGTTCGTACAGTTTCACTATCATCACACATCGCACATAGGAAGTACCATCAGTCAGTGCCAACGGGTTGATCTCTGACGAAATACCAGTACGAATACAGAGGGCTAGTCTCGCATATACCCGCCAGTTTACGCCGTCTCTGGCTTATTAGACGTGATATCCGACTATCGACCAAAGGGCGTGTGTACTGCTCATCAGTCCGCTCCGTCCTCCTTTATGGCTGGCTGTGAGACCTGGCCATTGAGAGTGGGTGACATAAAAAGATTAGCTGTCTTCGATCATAGGTGTCCGCGTTCTATCTTCCGTGTTAGTTGGTGGTATAATAAGGTGAGCAATATTGTGGTTAGGCGTCGGTCGACTGCTAGGTAAGGAGGAGGGGAAATCAATTGACGAGGCTGTGAAATTACATCGACTGAGATGGTTAGGACATGTGTTACGTATGCATGCCTAGTCATCGCCTTTCTCGACAGTGGGCAATGTTAGCTGATATAGGGTCAGGCTGGAAAAGAGCTAGCGGCGGTCAAACCAAAACATGGCTTCACCAGTCAATGAAATCTACAACAGCTAGTCTAGACCACGTAGGAAGGTGTAGACTTCCTGACTGGTTGGGGTCCTCGGGACGGTAAAAACCAATGGTTGGAAACAATTGGTGATATGGCTCAAAATCGTTCTTAATGCATAGCGCAGATGCATCCACTCCTTGTGACTTATGATTTCCAATTAAACTGTTTTGTTCTTCGCTATTACTATACCTTTATCTCAAACCTCTGTTTACTGTCTTTTTTATGCATTTCTTCTACTTTCTTCTCTTGCTTTGTGTGCTACATAGAGGGAGTGTGGCGACTTGAACTGCCACACATATGTGGAAAGTTCTATGTCGAATAAAGACAGACAGATATGGCAATGAAGTTGAAACTAAATCGATAATATTATGAAATACCTTGGGCTGTGTATTTCGTCTGTGACTACCTTTCCTCGCCTTTCTACACTATGTTAGTTTCCAGAAAGCTATCTTGTTTGACATATTCTATGTAAGGGAGTTAAGACGATCTGGTATCATTCCGTCTCTACCGTTTCCACTTTGTTAATTCTTGTATTCTGCCCACACTTCTTTACTGCTCCTCATCCCAACCCAATCTTTCTCGAGGCTTTGTTACTTGAGAAACACTTTGTTTGAGACACTGTGAAAGGCACTAAAAGCCGTGAGTGGAGTGTTGCTATTCCAACTCGTTAATACTATTGTAGATAGACAAATGGACTCAAAAAAGAGATTAGCAAATAATATCCTGTCAAACTGTGAACATGCTCTCTCTATACACACACACACACCCACACACAACTCTCTCCTTGCATCTATCTCATCTGATGATAGGGGAAACTAGAAGCAACTATGGAGGACTAAGTACGGACGACTAAGTACAAAAACTCTAAAATACACTTTATGAGGCCGGGACACATTTAATGTGATGACAACAGTGTAAAGCAGGCAAATACCAACTCACTATGGAACTCTAAGTGAACGGCACTGTTGTTTTTTGTTCTCATTATTAAATTGTCGCTAATATTTTGACTTGATTTAATTCTATATTCATTTCTCATTGAATACTATTAGTGTGAATACCCTATTTTAACTATTACCCCTGTGATGAGAAAATTAGATGCAATACTTACTGTACTACTACCACATGCTGAAAACTACATATTTTTACCAAAAAGCACAATTCGGAATAAAGCTATTACTACAATTATTATATTGCATCAAATTTTATCGAATCACCTTGAAAAATGCGAAAAATTGCAAATAATCATGATAACAATGTTCGTAGGTAGGATTTTCAGTCAACCGAGATACTGTCACTATAGATTACAAATAGGAGATTGCAAATAGAAGAGTCGATTATTTTGCTAACAAAGCAGTAATTCATAGGTTTCCCGCCTAATATTGTCTCTGCCGCATAGAAAACGAGGGCTGACCAAATATGGTATCGTTGACTTCCTATACTTGACCGTGCGAGCATATAATCTTTTGTCGGTCAGTTTTCGACATAGAACTTTCCACATATGTGTGGCAGTTCAAGTCGCCACACTCCCTCTATGTAGCACACAAAGCAAGAGAAGAAAGTAGAAGAAATGCATAAAAAAGACAGTAAACAGAGGTTTGAGATAAAGGTATAGTAATAGCGAAGAACAAAACAGTTTAATTGGAAATCATAAGTCACAAGGAGTGGATGCATCTGCGCTATGCATTAAGAACGATTTTGAGCCATATCACCAATTGTTTCCAACCATTGGTTTTTACCGTCCCGAGGACCCCAACCAGTCAGGAAGTCTACACCTTCCTACGTGGTCTAGACTAGCTGTTGTAGATTTCATTGACTGGTGAAGCCATGTTTTGGTTTGACCGCCGCTAGCTCTTTTCCAGCCTGACCCTATATCAGCTAACATTGCCCACTGTCGAGAAAGGCGATGACTAGGCATGCATACGTAACACATGTCCTAACCATCTCAGTCGATGTAATTTCACAGCCTCGTCAATTGATTTCCCCTCCTCCTTACCTAGCAGTCGACCGACGCCTAACCACAATATTGCTCACCTTATTATACCACCAACTAACACGGAAGATAGAACGCGGACACCTATGATCGAAGACAGCTAATCTTTTTATGTCACCCACTCTCAATGGCCAGGTCTCACAGCCAGCCATAAAGGAGGACGGAGCGGACTGATGAGCAGTACACACGCCCTTTGGTCGATAGTCGGATATCACGTCTAATAAGCCAGAGACGGCGTAAACTGGCGGGTATATGCGAGACTAGCCCTCTGTATTCGTACTGGTATTTCGTCAGAGATCAACCCGTTGGCACTGACTGATGGTACTTCCCAAATAAGTGAAGCGTTCAACGTGCTCTACCACTTCAGTTCATATTTCTAATCTAGGGGTCAGTGTAGTTCAATCCTGCAACATCATCTTACATTTTACAGGGGCGAATCGCATGCCAAACATACGAAGATTGCTGCTCAAGGTGTTTTGAAGACCGTGTCTGCATTTTGTCAGCGTCCTCGCCTAGAAGGACTATATCGTCTGCATATTTTAAGTCAACGAGATTATTCCCTGGTAGCAAGTCAATCCCTGAGTCTCTGAAGTGAGTTAGGGTTAAGTCCACTAGTACATCTATGATGAAATTGAATAGAAATGGGGATAATGGGCATCCTTGACGGACGCCACTAGTCGTCACCACTTCAGATGACAACTTGCCGTAAGCTCTCACCTGGCTGCATGAGTACGAGTAGAGTGCTTTAATCAGTACAATGTATTTTCTCGGCATTCCCTTTTGTACATAATCTGTTGTACTGACTTCTACTTCTACCAGATGAGATGCAAGTGATACAAGGCGGAGAGAGTTAGGAATAGAGAGGCTGAGACAATATGGATTTAGACCATTGTTCGCATGAGTTCTTCACATGTCTATCAACTGATGTAGTGATAAGCTTACTGACTAAGTTGACACGACTATGATGGAAGAAGTAATAAAACACAAGTCCACGGGGAATATCAAAGAGGCCATACGTAAACGATAATGCTAGACTTTTCTGAAGGCAGTCATGTGTTCACCAGGTGACCTAGGGAGAATCACAGATATCAAAAGCCTCATATTGACACTGGAAGCTTTGCACCTCGTCGAATTCCACCCCCCGCCGCTAATGTTCTGCCTGCAAACCTGATAGCATGATCGAGGATATGTTGCAGAAAAAGACGACTGCACCACTATCCAATCCTCCGTGAGCTTCGGTTATGTTTTGATTATAGGAAATTAAATGCGGTGACACGGAGAGATGCTTACCCCTTGTCGCAAAGTGACGAAATCTTAGAGGCTTTTGAATTAGCTTCAAGATATTAATTAACAGGTGCACCCCCATGACTGGCCTAGGACTACTTTCCTTATACCTACCTAGCAGGTTATATAAATAACCAGATCATGTGTTCCGGTTTGGGTAATGTACCAGCAAAGTTACAATGGTTGATGCGTACAGTACACTTAAGGGACTGATTCGAGAAGTTTGCATAGTATATTTAGACGATAACACCGTGTTCAGTCACCCCATGAAAAAGAACACCTTGGGATGTTTGAAGGAGGTAGGACAAAATATGCAGCCCACAGCAGGAATCCAGTGAAAATCAGTTAAGGTAGTCATGGTAGATAAGTATTCCACAATTACAGTGTGCACAATTTATTGACTGATTGGTTTCAACAAAGAACTTTGCACAGATTTGCACTAGTTCTACTGGCAAGAGAAGACAGTAAACAGCGATTCAAAAGAGACATAATAAAGAGAAGTGTGAGTTAAGCAAAAACAACAGTAATATGAAAGGAAATTAGAGTTTTATTGGATATGATAAATCATCATAAAGAGTGGATGCATCTGCACCAGTGACAACCATCACTGAGAACAATTTTGAGCCAGCCATATCATCAATTGTCTCCAGGCTTCATTGACTCTCACCACCATCCTGAGGACCCCAAGCAAGGCAGACAATCAGTAAGGCAGTCTTCACCTCCGTACATGACTGGCTGACTGGTTGGCTTAAACTTCTTACTGTTGTGGATTTCACTGACTGATGATGTAGCCGTGTTTTCGTTTAACCACCACCACTACATCATTTCCAACCTCAATCATCCTGCCCGTCAGTAGGGGAAGACGATGGCTAGGCGTGAATGCTCAACACAACAATGTCCTAACCATCCAGCTCAACTGGTGTAACCTGCTTCACAACCTTGTTGATTGACTT